TATATATATGTATATGTATATTATACGCACATATATTATACACACACACGTATACACACACACACAAGTAGAAATACACACATATATTATACACACACACGTATACACACACACACAAGTAGAAAAACAAGTAGATAGAATAGAAAAAATAGAAAGCTAGTGTTTGTTATTTTTGTTTAGTTTTTTTTTTTTTTTTTTTTTTTTTTTTTTTTTTTTTTTTTTTTTTTTTTTTTTTTTAAAGAAGATAAATATAGATAAAGTAGAATTAAAATAGAATAGAAAGTGCTAGAGTTAGAGGGTCAAATAAAGGTGGAACAGATGTGTTTTTAGTCATTTCTTGAAGATGGGTAAGGACTCGAATTGAGTTATAATATTATTACTGTAATAATATTATTTTATTACAGTTTAAATGTATTTACTGTCTCTTTTGGTTAGTTTAATCATTTTGATAAATTTATTAACTTGCAGAATAAAAGTAAAACTAAAAAATGACCCCATTTCTTTTTTTTCTTTTTTTTGCTATCTCAATTCCAATTCTAAGTGATGCACAACCCCTAAAAATTTGATTCTTGCAAAAAAGACTCTTACACTGGAATAATTATAACACTGTTGAAGTTGAATACTGTAAATAACTGTACACTAAATCCACAAGACCATACCCAGCTGCATTTTCCTCATGTTACTTTCAGACTTTCAATGAAGATGCTTTTGTTTATAATCTTTCCACAGGGTCATCCTGGGAAGGAAGGTTCTCCCGGGGAGAAAGGAGCAGCTGTGAGTGTATTTTTAGTTTGTCTCGAAATGAATTGTCACTCTAAGTTCCAGTTATTGACCACATTTCAAGTACAAAGCCACTAAACACCCGTAAGGCACTATTTTGCAGCTGTCTACAAGTTTAGTATTGAAATTAAAGCCATTTCTCTGTCTGTAATTAACACTTAATGTGTGGCCCCTTTAGATGTTTAAAACCTAATTCCCCTCTATTAATCCTGATTGATTCAGTGTTATTATATTTACTCATTTCCTACAGGGCCACTCAGGTCCCCAGGGGTCCATTGGCTATCCCGGTCCCCGAGGTGTGAAGGTAAACAGCCTTGATTCTCTTCATCTCACTGGTTCTTTATTATGTGCGTTTATTCTATCCATTAGAGCCTCTTTTCATTGTTCTGTCCATTTAGGGTGCAGAGGGCGTTCGTGGCTTGAAGGGCGGCAAAGGAGAAAAGGTAAGCAAATTACCCGTCCCCTGTCTCCATTACTGAGCTCTTGGGTCAGCCTCTAAAATGAGGAACACAGATGACAGGCCAGCAGCTAAAAGTGGAAGGCCATTTCAGGGACTATTTGCACCAAAATGGGTTAAATCAGGTGTTATGAGTGTGTGGTATAAAGCAAAGCTATATGACTGGATATCAGTAGAGATTTATAAGCAGAAAAAAATGATAGAAGAATTGTAATCTGTTATAATTGTTTTGTATATATACAGTATCGTGGCTCGATCTGCTTCAGGCTGTATCCTCTGCAGTGGCCACCAAGTGTCAATGTTTCATTCATACAATAGTGAAGTCAGTTTCCAAAATGTATCGTTATTGATATGAAATTCTCAAGCTTAACATTTATAGCTTTTATAGTTTGTTAAATGAACATGCAATCATAGATATGATTTAATTTCTCAGACTGAACTAGTTTGAACCAGCAGTTTACACTATGGCCACAAGATGCCAGCATTTAGCCATTATGTTCTTATGGAGTATTTGAAATTAGATAAAAATGTTTGATAGTTTGCTCATTATTTTTAATTTTTTACTTTGGAATTTTGAAAATGTATTTATTTATTTATTTAAATGAGTTTGCATTTTACCCAAATAAATGTTCTGAGATGATGTTTTTCATGGGTTCAGGAGTGATGACAGTATTTATTGTGCGTATTTAAATTTAATTTCCATTTCAATTCTATTTTATCTATCTATCTATCTATCTATCTATCTATCTATCTATCTATCTGTCTATCATCTGACGATAAAAATGTTTGATAGTTTGCTCATTATTTTTAATTTTTTACTTTGGAATTTTGAAAATGTATTTATTTATTTATTTAAATGAGTTTGCATTTTACCCAAATAAATGTTCTGAGATGATGTTTTTCATGGGTTCAGGAGTGATGACAGTATTTATTGTGCGTATTTAAATTTAATTTCCATTTCAATTCTATTTTATCTATCTATCTATCTATCTATCTATCTATCTATCTATCTATCTGTCTATCATCTGACTATTTCTATCTATCTGTCTATCAGTATTCAAAAAATACTAAAAAGTTATATTTTAAATGTTAATTAATTCTATTTAAATTATATTTTTAAATGTCAATTTAAATCGTTTTTTTATCACATTCATTCATTCATTCATTCATTTGTTTATTAGCATACGTTTACATTTTACCCAAATAAATGACCTGAGTTTGATTTCAGGGAGAAGATGGTTTTCCTGGGTTCAAGGGTGACATGGGCCTCAAGGGTGATAAGGTGAGTAACAAACACGTATAGTTGCATTTAATTTCAATCAACACTTATAAACACTTATTTATTATTTATTTAAGGTGAGTTTTAACCATTTAGTTGTTACAAGTCTGATATAAAGTTTGTGGATTGTTGCTGGTGTTCAGGGAGAGGTTGGCGTGTTGGGCCCCAGAGGAGAAGACGGACCAGAGGGGCCGAAAGGTAAAGGAGGTCCCTCTGGAGAGGCTGGTCCCATGGGCATGGCAGGAGAGAAGGTCAGTTTGAAACTCATTATGTTCAATATAATGGCAAAGTACTTGAAATGACCAGCCCTGGAAAAATCAACACTAGGGTTTTTGGGGCAATTAAGTGTCTGTCAGGGATTATTAATACATGTGTGAATTAAAACTTAAAATGACACCGAACTCATAATCTTAAATTGATTCTGAATGGCAGTTTTAAATGTCAGCCAAATACTCCATTACAGCTCCCATATGCTTTTACAGTTTATGGAGGGCGGTGAAATGCTTTATTGTTACTCTATAGGGCCTGATGATTATTTAAAAACTCAAAATGACAATGTGCTTTTTCTTTTCATTTTTAGGGAAAACTTGGTGTTCCAGGTTTGCCTGGCTACCCAGGAAGACAAGGTCCTAAAGTAAGTACTGACACGTTTCCTGTTGCAACTTTATCGTTATTTTATGTTATTTCTATTTTATTTGTATTTATTTTTTCAAAGCATCTCTAGGATTATTATCTCTAGATTAAAATGAGACACTAATCAAAAATAAAACTATGAAGTTATCATGTCTCTTAAACGGTGCCACTGTCAGTACTGCTTTATTTATATTTCGCCGAGCGCTGCTTTTGACACGCAAGGCCTGCTGTTCTCTGATAGCCTGTGTTAACAGAGTTAATAGGATAAACTCATTCTCCATGACGCTGACTGTTTTATCTCTTGGCCACCCAGCATGCAATAAATGCAGGCCTGTGAACAGCTCAAGACTGTGCAGACACAGTTTGTGATGTTTGTCAGCTTATTCGTTCAGTTCAGGCTGCTGACACCATCAGAACAAGTATTTGATTCAATATAGGGCTGGTCCACTCAAATAGCTTGAACTCCCTGGTATTTATTCATTGAGTTTTACTTTTGAAGTTTTTTTATGAAATGGATCCTACTTTGCTTGAATAGCAAATGGTGCAAAGTGACATTGAAGTAGGCTACATCCTGCTTTGTCAGCTATTTCAGCTTTGGGTTTACAGTTGATGTTTGGCCTGTTCAGGGTTCTGTTCAAATTATTTGAGGAGTGTCTGAGCATGGAATGAAGAGCGGAATTGTGTGACGATGATGATGATGAATTTTATTATGGAGGAGGGTTTTGTTTTGTTTTGTTTTGTTTTGTTTTGTTTTGTTTTGTTTTGTTTTGTTTTGCTTTGCCTTGCTTTGCTTTTTGTTTTGTTTTTGTTATTTGAGTTCCAGTGACAGATGCACACTATATCAGTATCATATTGCTAATTAATGGCTATAGTTTCTTTAATCAGTATAGTTGATATTAATATTTCATTATTTTACTAATTTCCTCTCCTTTAACCTTTGACTGACTACATATGTTTTTATTATTATTATTATTATTATTATTATTACTACTACTACTAAATTATTTGGCATAATCTATGACTCACTTAAGGTTATTTTTAAAACACTAATAATTTTGTAGTATTAATGTAATCTTTAGCAAATCTGAAAAAAAAAAATCCAAACTCAAAATTAATACCCATTTTTCATACTGTAAATTATAATGTTGTGATGTCTGAATTAACTAGTAGAAATTAAAACAATAGATTTTAGTTTTTAGCATTTTATTTATTTATTCATTTTTATATTTTTATATATACTTATTTAGGCACTGATGAAGGGTTTAACACCAAAACTTTTTGCAATTCGTTATTTTTTTAAGCTTTTTTTTCTATTTTCATGTGTGACTCTTTTTCCCCTCAGTGTATTTAGACAGAATTACTGCCATTTATTGGTTATGGTGCATAACATGAAAATAATAAGTGGCTTATCATGCTTCCAACAAAAGCATAACATGTTAATGGGTTAATGTTGTTGTTTTAATGACACATTAAACTTCTCCAACTGCTGTGTGTGTGTGTGTGTGTGTGTGTGTGTGTGTGTGTGTCTGTGTGTGTTTGCAGTTGTCTGTTTGATTTGCTCCATTATCCCGTGCAGGCAACCATCCCGTGGAGTAAATTACTGATGCGTATCCATTGTATACAGACCGCTTCCCCTTTTTTGCCTGCCAAAATAATTCGACCTTCAATTTCATCTCCTGCGATGAATGCCTCAGGAGAGGGTACAGTCCTAACTATGAGACTGAGGCTCATGGAGATTAACTGGCATATTTAACATGCATTTAGACATTAAGCAAGCTTTTTAAAATGTTTAAAAACTTTAACACTGCAGAGAAATTCCACTGCAGTTTATTGCAACACAACCAGGGATATATAAATAGCCAATTTTGATTTTATATTGACTTTAATGTACAAAGGTCCACGATTTTTTGGAAAGAAACTTGTGTGTACCAACATAATCTCTTGTTGGAGATTCATTTAGAAATTCATTTTTAATCAGATTTTACAGTCTCACAGCTGTTGTACTTTATTATTGATCAGTTTATCATTTCTAAATTAAGTATGGCATTATTTACAAACCGGTTATTTAGTTGTCGTCAAGGGTTCATAAGATCATTTAGAAAGGGTAAGTAAATGATTAATAAACTATTTAAATGGACATTTATACATATTATTTAGACATATAGTAATAGTGTGTTAATAAATGCTGTATTAACATGTATTCTTACTGTACTTCATGATTAACTCAGGTAGTTATAAAACCTTGAGTAGTTGTCAGTTAACTATTTGTGTGAGCCAGTCTAAAGTGAGGATTACTTGTGCCTCATAAAAACTTTTAAAAAGGAGATTTAAAGGCTCAGTTATCTTCTAAACAGAAAAAGGAAACAAACACAACATAGAGTAATACAGATCTAAATGATCTTATGAACCACTGACAACTCCTAAATAACTGGTTTGTTAATAATGTAATACTTAATTTAGAAATTATACATTGAATATTAATAAATTATGAAAATATAAATATTAAACATTATAGATATGCTCATAAATCAAGAACAAAGCATTTATAGCTGTATTTATAAACTGCTTACTCTCTATTAATGTGGGGACAATGCTTTATAAATGATGAATTGACTATTTACTAATGCTTAACTAATGGTCCATAGCGTGAGGTTATTATAAAGTTTTACCAAATAAATGCTAACATGTATCTCATAAAATGCCTGACTTTTAGTAAGTTTTGGCCAACTCAAAGCAGGCATATGTCACAGGGAATTGGAAATGGCTCTACTAGTTTTTCTTCATTAAGAGTACTTAAAACTGTGGGACTGAATATAATCAAACATTGTTTTGTTTTTAGTATAAGAAACAGCATCTGCCTTCTTGATGAATTTCAGTCTCCACTAGTTATCTCTTTCATGAATCAGTTGTTGCTGAAAGTCACATTTAAAACACAAAGCCAGTATGATTTCAATAAACAACAGTCGATTTTGCCGTCACTTGCTGTTTTGATGTTTACTTTTAGCTGGCTCATATGTTTTTCATGACTCAGATGGGAGGAGAGTGACGTGTCCTTGGCGTCACATGACAATGCACTGCCAGCACTTGTTTCTGATGTAGGAAATAGAGAGATTGCCAGTTGTATAAACACTCTGGGCTGTATTTCCAGGAGACATATAGTACAAACAGCTGCCATACACTGGCACAAACAAATGCAAGTGCACGCAGAGTTTCAGATGCCACTTTGACAGATTCTGAAGCACAGCTCTCATTAGAGAATTAAACCGCTCTCTCTCCTTCTCACACAGGGTCCATCTGGTCTGAAGGGAAGCGAGGGTCCACAGGGTCCACCCGGTCCTATTGTAAGTACCTGTGTTACCATGGAAACTCTGTCGCTGCAAACGATCAATCTGCAAGCTTTGCCTCTATTAGTGAAGTGACATCAGGCAAATTCTGGAACGGGCGCAGTCAGCAGGTGGTGAATTTAATGACCAGTAATGTTGGCACTGAGAGCCCAGTTTGGTGTGTGATCTGATCCCACGCAGTCTGATCACGCTGAATGAGTCAGGCCTAATCCGTAAGTCCGTCACCACATCAGTAATTGCATTTGAATCATACGTGAAATATGCTTAGAGATTCAGACCTGTTGTCATCAGGGATGTCAAATGTACTTGTAAATGTAAATGTACAGGAAAATGTCTGACTTGGCGGGATACTAATGGAGCATTTACATTACATGTTTAGTGTCAGAATATTGGACCTGTGTATTAGGCCTATAATGAAAATCTTGAAAAGGAAAGAGAAAAATATTTCTTTCTTCAAGCAACTTAATTGAGAAATATTTTTTATTGTTATTTTTTTAAATATTTATATAAAAAAATATAAAAATAATTTTTAACTTCAGAACAGTTCTGTAATTAATTACGTTCTATTAGAATGTAATTATATTCTATTCTAAAAATGTAAAAAATTATATTGTGTAATGTTTAATGAAATGTATTATCTTAATATATCTTATTATATTTATGTATATGTATAGAGAAAGAGAGTTCAAGTATAAATATTGTAATAATAATATAAAAATGTAATATTTATATTACTTATATTTTACTAATACAAATATTTTGCTATTAATAAAATAGAAAATAGCATTATGTATACCCTTGTAAAAAAGTAATATATTATATATATTATATCTATTAACATATTTACTGACATATTGCTCGAGACTTACTGATATAAAAATGATATATAAACTTTATTTGGAGAGCTACTTGTGCACAGTGCACATTTTTTTATGTCACTGTTGATAAGGATCATATGATCTTTGAATAATATCGGCTTTTAAATGTGAGATAATTAAAGTGTACCTAAAGTATACTTACAAAAGTTCCACTTAGCACAATCAAATATACTTCAGTGTATCTTTAATTGGACTTCAGCGCTATTTCCGCACAATTAAAGTGCATTAAGTACAAAATTATTTGTTCCAAATTAGCAGACTTGAAGTATGCCAATTTAGTATTTGCAGTACAACTTAAGGGTATTTTTATTAAGTACATAAATATGTAAATGTAGTACACTTAGCATGAAATAAATGTATTTTAAATAAATATAAGTATAATTATTTTTTCACAAGGGTTTTTATTCATGTATATATATGAATATATAAGTCGTGGCCTAATGAAGTCGTGGCCTAATGGTTAGAGAGTCGGACTCATAACCCAAAGGTTGCGGGTTCGAGTCTCGTACCGGCAGGGAGTGTAGGGGGGGGGAGTGAAAGGACAGCGCTCTCCCACCTTCAATACCACGACTGAGGTGCCCTTGAGCAAGGCACCGAACCCCCAACTGCTCCCCGGGCACTGCAGCATAAATGGCTGCCCACTGCTCCGGGTGTGTGTTCACGGTGTGTGTGTGTTCACTGCTGTGTGTGTGCACTTTGGATGGGTAAATGCAGAGCACTAATTCCGAGTATGGGTCACCATACTTGGCCACATGTCACGTCACTTTAAAAAGTCACTTTATATACACGTGCATACACACAGTATACAGTATAGTGTTAAAGTATTATTAGCTGTAATATTGTAGATTAAATTTTACTTGAACATTTATGTAATACTTTATTATGAATTTAAAGAAGTATGTTCAATAGTTGAATTAAGTGGTGTTGAAAGTTGTATCGATAATAATGCTGTTTTACTGTTCTTGCTATTGACTCCTGAAATTTTGGTATGATGACAACCCTGTGATCATATAGAATGTAGAGTAAAATAGATCTTCCATTCTGCATAGAAATAACATCCTCCCATTAAAGTAACTGCTGTCTGTCTTCTCTCGTAGTGCAGTGAAGGCACAGCAGTACAGCTTAAAACCATCAAAGCTTCAGCTGTGCGCTATGTGAAGCCCTTTTCAGCTTGAGGAAGATTGGTGTAGGGATTCATTGTCTCTCTTGTATTAAAAGCATCTGTACAGCCCGGCAAGAAAAATCTCTGAAATCAGAAGGATTTTGAGTCAGTGGACCACCCACGCCAATCAGCCATCTTATCTTTGCCTAAATAGACCTCCCGCAGGTGCCTGAATTGAGTTACTGGCAGCAGAGTACAACTCTTCTGAGAAGTTTCTAACAAAGAGCTGAGTCAGTTTGCACAGTGTGCAGTGTGCCTCAGTGTGTTTGTGAGGTGGTATATCAGATGAGAAGTGAGTCAGGGCTGTGTGTTGTGTCAGTTTGATAGTAGGATGTATGACGGTCACAGTCTGTGGTGACAGTGGACCGTTCATTGTGGAAATGAGCATAAACTATTCATGCTTCATTATTTGTATATGTACCTTTAAAACAAATATTAAAAAAACTTTTTGAAAATTGTAATTAAGATGCGTGCACTCAGATGTTGAGACAATGTTCTGCCCTGCACGTTCTCACTCCCAACTCGTCACATATTGACGCTAGGTCAGGACCCCTTGACGATGCTTTTTGACACTCAAGGTACCCCTTTAGTGTCATTTTTCGATGCACAGGGATATCTTTTTAGCGTCCCTTTTCGACGTGCAGGGACCTCCATTGTTTGCAGTTGTTTGTCTTCATTTAATGGTTTGCATGCATTTGCAAAAAATATGAATTATTTTATATAAATTTATACTTTCATTGGAGCACCTAAACCTACCCACTTCTGAACAATATAAAACACGTAACAGGCAAATATACAAAACAACAACAACATTTGACTCCTTACGCATGCAAAACTGGTGCAGTGCAATAACGACGTGATTTGCAGCTGTCGCACTTTTCGTAATGTCATTAGGCTATAGCATTTTATTTTAAAAATGGAGAGCTTCCTTGTGCTAAGTAGGCCTGCCCTCTACTAAAGATTTTTCTAGTCAACTAGTCGC